TTTACATAATTTGCAATTAGTAACAAATATGCTGACACTGTCATTTAACTAAAATTACGAATTTTGAAGTTAATATGATTTTTTAAAAGGCGAGCAAACTGGTTAGTTTACCCTATACAATAAACCTTGTTTTATATTCATTTAAAAAAATATCTTCTAGAAGTTTCCTGTATTCAAAATTATAAATTTCAGTGTTTGGAGGCAACAGTTTTAAGTCCTTTATTGTAACTAACATGTATAAATAAAAAGTTAGTTTAAATTATTAGGTTATCTGCGTAAATTAATAAGCACAATGAAAAACAAAATGTTTTTTTTTATTTCCAATGGTGGGAAAATTAATCAAATACAACAAAGAAGAAAAATAACCATCAGAAGGAAACACAAGAAGTAAAAGAAAGACTGAAGTCATTTCCCCATTAGCTCTCTCGTACGGCAATATTTAGCAGTCTCGGAGTCAAGTCCGTGGAGTGACCTACAGCGGTGGAGATGTTATCGGTTCATAAATTCTTTAGAATGACATAGTCGACAATCGGGATGGTCATAGATATGTATGAGATACAAGTGCTTTCCCAGGCAATCGTGACCTATTAACACTTTCATGTCCGGTGACACCAACGTGTTGTCACGTGAAAACCAAACGTTAGCTGCCGGTGACAACACGTTGGTGCCATACGCAAGCCATACACTAACAGCCGGTGACAACACGTTGGTGTCATGTCCAAGCCAAACGTTAGTGGCCGGTGACAGCACATAGATTTTGCGCTTTGCAACCTGATATTCATGTGACATTTTGTCAAGGGACAATAGAGTACAGAGATGCCAACTGCTCCGCTTTCTGGAATAGTTTTAATAAAGTGGTAGCAAATTATATAGTAAAATTCGTTAAAGAAAGATAGTTACGCCTACTTTTTAATATAATAACCAGTAGTTTGATGCTTTACCGTTGCATTTTATATCATACTTATAATTTCTGATATTTAGTGGTGAAAAAATTACTTATAATGAAAAATACTAAACTAAAAGTAACTTAAATTTCGCTACCACTAGAAAATACTATTTTACAAAGCGAAGCAAGTTACACGGAACCGGTTACATGGTAAACTTATCACTAAATATATGCGGACCGCATAGTGTTAAGAGACAAAAGAGGGCTACAGCATCTGGTATTGCCTCTAAATCTGCCTCACTCCAGTTTTTATTCTCAATACTATCTCGTAGCCACGAAGAACTTGAACTAAATTCGTACCTGTCCGCCAAGAGGACACTTCACACTTTTATCTGTAGCTGTGCACGTGGGCACCTGGAATGATGGCGTTGTGTTGTATGTGCGTAGCCAAGAAGATGCATTCATTTTCAATATGTATTTTAAATATAGTTAAATGGAGTGGTAGGACAGTCCAGAGCAATTTGGTTGAATCAACTGAGTGCTCTTTCGAGAAAGAAAGTCAGCCTGCTCGTTACCGCTAATGCCACAATGACTGGGAATCCACTGGACGCTTTTGTTCCTCTGTACTAGAAGCCTGATGAGCTCCCGGCATTGGTGTACCTTCTCTTCTCTTCTTCTTGCTTGAGCTTTTCAGATATGCGGCACCTCTGCATATGTTGCATTTTGTACCATGCTTGGTGTACCTTATCCAATAAGATGTTTTCTTAGGAACTAATTGCAGCCTGGGAATCTGATGGTGAAACAACTTTTTCAAACTTATAGTGAATAGATAATAGTTTCTTCAATGCAATAAATAAAGCTTGAACTTCTCCCTTAAAAGGGGTACTACGTAGACCTACCTTCTTGTGGTGCACCCAGGGCAATGCCTTACTCTGTAGAGTGGTCTACATTCGACATGCGACCTCGCGAAAACAAAAGAGTAGAGCAGTTTGTTTATTTAAATAAACTGTTCACTTTTTTCCTATCATTTCTTCCCACTTATCCCTTAAAATGTCATTGGTTTCTCAACAANAAAAAAAAAAAAAAAAAAAAAAAAAAAAAACAACTTCGTATTTATGTTTTAAAACCATAGGGGTCATCGTCACTGTTTTGGGTTTTAATTTGTTTTTGAGCAAAAGCTATAAAAACAGGAGCTTTAGCCTCAAATAACTGTTGATCTAATAATTGGATGTTCACGTACTAAATCTCAATCTTAACGTTTCGAGAGGTGGCCTCAAATTTGCAAATAGTTAGTGCCGCAGTATTTTAAATTATCAAGTCAGACATGAAAATGTACTTTCTCTTAATAAGCAAACCTTTTGTTCGACTGGATTATGATTTTTGACTGCCATCATATATAGGGGGCAACCGCAATCTGGAAAAAGTAATCTCACTAGTTTTGTCAGACAAGCAGTCGAAAGTTTGGAACCCTTTATGTTAACTTTACTTTTTTCTTATCTTTTTTAAGCGAATTAGAAGCAATTTTGCAGTCAATTTTTGCATACAATCATAATATTCGTGTATCTGAAGAAAATTCTATAGAAAATAATTTTTAATAATTACTATAATTTTTATTTATTAATAATCAAAAAAATTTGAATTGTAAGATTTTCAAATTTTTAGATCATTTTAAATAATGTAATTTTAATGGAAAAATACAAAATCTAAACAAAAACAAGAGAAATCGAATTTTTTTTCAACAAATTCAGATATTTAAATTTCGATTTCTCTGGAACTATTTAACCGACTTGGTTTAAAGTTTCATATTTTTCTATATAAAATTACATAAATTGTGTATTTTGAAAGCAAAGTGTTATGCGTGATTGTGGAAAATATTGACGCTTAAGAAAAATAATTATTAATTAGAACTAATTGCGAGGATCGGTGAGCGGGGCCTGGTATTATATAAAAAAAATAGTTCCAAACTAGATTTTTTTATTAGCATAGCACTCAATCACTTTGAAATTTATTAGAAATCTTATAATTTATACACATTAAGAAAAACACAAATTTTAAGTAAAGGCATTCTTATTTTTTTCATAAGGCACCAATATTAGCATTTTGCTTGCATGTTTGGTTTCTGTGGTGAAGAGTGTAATTTAATTGTTTTATCATTAATATTTTATTGAAAAAAAATAAGGCATTCGTGAGTACCGTAATATATACGAACAAGTTGGAGAACAAAGTTTCTTTTAACGACTTTTAACGAGTTTCTTTTGTACGGATCTTGGATATTTTCACGTCCCTGATTTTAAATCTGCAATCGCTCTTTCTACAATTTTTTATTGATAATTTTATTTTATTTTCTTGTTGTCAAAATGTACAATTTTTAAAACGTTATATATTACAGGGGGTTGCATAAATGTTGACTTCAACAATAACTTCTAAGGGTGCAAGAGCAAATCATCTGGATTAAAACTGCTTAAGAAATCACACCTGGCAATGTCGTAATACGCTAATAGGAGTGATGATGGCGCTGGGAATTAAATAGTATTGGTCGAAGAATCATATAGGATATTAATAAGTAATATTCAATAATTTTTTGACACTAAGCGACAACAAATAATCTCCGTTTGAGCCTTTATTTCATTATTTAAAAAAAAATTTAATATTAGAACTAAATATAATTAATTAATTAATTTAAATGTCCTTGTAACCAAATATATCAGATGTCTCATTCCAAAATCAGATATCAGATATATTAGGTGTCATAATTCTCTAACAATTTATTATTTATTTTTTTATACGACGCTAAGAAAATTGCAAATATATTTCCTGTACAATAGAACCTTGATTATCTGACCCTTTTTAATCGGAATATATCTGATGATCCGAATAGATTGCGAAGTTGTTGTTCTATTTTTATCTGAAAGCTTAGTTTTTTTTTCCTTGATTTCCCTCGATTTTTTTCCTCGAGCAGAATGTCCTTAAGGACATTCTGCTTATGGAAAGCAAGAAATGTGATCTTCGAATTACCCATTTCCCTTCTCAATTTTTTTTGAAGAAAAAAAATTGCAAAACATCATAATATTTTTTTATTCCATTAATAAATACATGGAACTAAAACAAAAAATAATATAAAAATTTTAAGTTGAACTTTCAATTTTTTATGTGTAAAAAACATTTAATTTACCATCAATTTACTATTCTGAGTTATCTCGGGAAAATGAAAAAGGTTTAATATTAGTCTCTGTATGATAGTTTTTAAAACAAGAGACAACACAAACTTTCCAAATACCAATGGAATGATGCATCATTTTTTTTTCTTCTTTTTTTTATGTAAATTCAGCAACCATCATATATGCAATTGCACAAAACACGTTTGCAGTCCCACAATCCAACAGCATAGCTCCCAAACAAAACTTGGCAAACTTCCAATCACAGCAGATTATTATTTTATTATAATTATTCATTTTTTTGCTTCCGTCCGAGTAAAAAAGTGATAAAACCAAACGTACTGACAAATTCTGCTACGCCCGAGTTTTTTCGGGATAATAAGTATTTGCATTATATACATACCCCAGTTTACTCGGGATTATCAGAGAAGAAGTTAAACAAAACCCTCTTTCTATTGCAAGAGAAACATAGAATTGAACATTTTATTTGAATAACAAATAAACATTTGCTGGTTAGTGAAGTTAGTTGCTTTGGGTTCTACTAAAGAAATCTGAAAGTTGCAATTTTCGTTGTTTTATTCGATATTTCATAATTATTCGACTTTCAAAATTCACGATATATATATAACTTTACTTTTTTCTTAT